GTTTTATGTATAGCCTGTGTTATCTTATCTCCTACCCTCCTATAATAGACTGCCATGGATAGCTGAGACCCTTACATGGTTAAAGCTGCGTCAGTGTGTGGCTGAATGGACGTGATAAGTGCTGAAGCACACAGGATTCCTCTGGGCTGGAAAAAGAGATAAGAACAGAGAGGACAGGAAAGGAGACCAGCAAAGTGACTTTGGACATTTGACAGTCATTTAAATAAATTCTTATAATTCACGGATTAAATCAGGCATTGAAGCTTAAAGTTTTTACAGAGAAATATTAGAATAATATTGGATTATAATGCAATGCAAGGGTTTTCTCAAAAACTGTGTGAACTAAATATTTTTTTCTTAATGCCTTAACTTTCTGTTTTTATTTAACTAGTAAAATAATAATAATAATAATAATAATAATAATAATAATAATAATAATAATAATAATAATAATAATAATAATAACATATACAGCTATTAACAAATGAAACCGCTAAAATACATTTTTTTAAAGCCTAGTATGTTTTCTACTTAAAATAAGTATAAATCTAGAGTTATTTAACCCAGCTCTATTCCTTAACTAAAGTGAAAACCTTCATGGTAGAAAATATGGTTTTAAAATACTTGGCAGGTACAGAAGCTATCCATTTCAATTTCTTCTGTCTCTTTACATAATTCTCAGACACTTCATGTTGTCGGGTTTTGTGATGATCATGCATCACAAAGCCTCTGGTTTCCTACACTTCCTGAATATTTCCACTCTGCAGTAAAACCACTTACAGCTGATTGTGGAATATCTAGCAGAGAAGAAAATTTCACACACTGACTTGCTGCGACTGTAGTATCCATTTACCGTTCGACCAATTCTTTTACAAGTGTTTGTAAAAGCCGAGAGTTGTTTGATTTCATACACCTGTGGTAATGGGACTGAACACACCTGAAATCAAAACCACATCCAGTGTTGCCTTGCATTATTGGTCAAAAGTGGATTCATTACAATGATACTGTTTTGTTCTCTATTGTGTGGACACTCCGGAAACCCTACACATATTCCATATGTATGAGGACTGATGCCATGGATACTCTAAGACACATCACCTGTGGTGGCCACGCCCTACTTGCCATTGTAGCTATATAAACACTATGCATACGTGGCTTCTTCAAATCCCTGATTTCCACATAGTCTACGTGTGTGTCACCTTACCTTGCCAGAATAGAGCTGGTCCCTATACCCCTCTCAGGGATTGCTTTTGTCTCTCCTACACAGGCCGGTGCAAAACTTGGCACTATATAAATAAAATGGAACTGAAATTTTATTTTCCAATGCAAAATTTGACCTTGTTGGAAGTTATGTCAGACTTGCCAGAGAGTAAAGACAGGGGGAAAGTGTGGTGTTGGCAATTTCTGTCTGTCTTCCAGAGCTAGGGGACTGGGAAAACCCTGCACTGTGGGAGAGCTTAGTTGCCGTTCATTTCCACCTGTTATAGACAAGAAACAGCGTAACATCCAAAGCTTTTTAGGCAAACCTGTGTGACATTAAGAATATAAGGTGTGACTTGTGCCCCAAGTGCATGTCCCTCAGTCATAATCGGCACATTTCACTGATGGATTAGGGCTAATCCAGGGGAGCACAGCTGTTTAAAGTTGTGGAATAAAGGTGCCTATGGAGGAGGGCCATGATAATTGTGTTCACTGCATAGAGCTAGACCATGTAAGCTAGCGCGAGAGAAATCTATGTGGTAACTTCCAACGTAGCCAGAAACCCTTTTTACAACTATATGCTGTAACCAACATGTCTCGTTTCCATGTTTAGCTCAGGAGGTAGAGGTCATCTACTGATTGGGAACAACATGAGCATTTGTAAGCAATAGGAGCGTATTTGAGGAGGCCAAAACTTTATTGGTAGTTATTAGTAACTTACAAATGAGAAAATTC